GATCATCTAGTTTTATATGTACATTTATACATATGTAGATACACAGGACACATTCTGGGGTCACATAAGCCAGCTAAAGCACAGATACTTCTTGAGAGGAGTGGGATGAAGCTGTAGTCAAGGGGGGTTTTTGCTCTATAGTTAGAACTCTCTTTCATAGGAGTGGACTGCATTAATACGTTATCTGTGCAACCCATCACTTAAGTTGTCTAAAAATATGTAACTTGTATATTTAGAAATGAGAGGAGGAGGAAAGGACTGTTAGAAAGGAGTGACCTGAGGTGTTTCAGCTCTGATTCCTGTGTCCTTGGGCAAATCACCTTCCCTGACAAAGTCAGTTTCTTTGTCTATAATATGTTCTCCGTAATCCCTCCCTGCAGGTTGCTGTGAGAGGCTCAGGGACCTCCCTGGGAAAATACAAACTGTAAAGCGCCCGAGGTGATAAGCTCCTGGGACAGAGGAGCATATCCAGATAGTATTCCATGTTCCCACTAGGAAATGCGGCAAAGTCAAGTTGCCTTCCGCCTGAGCCACTCCTCATCCGCACACCCCAGGGAGGGCCTGAGATACAGACCATGCTCCCTGGGGCTCACACACCTCGTCTCAGGCTGTGCTGCTGGTTACTCAGTGGCCCAGCAGCTGAATACTGGAAAGAGTGGCTGCGGGAGGGCCTTTCCTCCCACCCAATCATGTACTGAATTCTTCTTTTGTTTAAAAACCGAAAGTGAGGCTCAAAGAGTGGAAGGGAGGTCAAGACACAGTAGAGCAAGTGCAGGGAGGGCTGCACACTGGAATAGGCAGGCCCTGTCTTCCTCTCCAGGCCCCAGGCTGAGGCGGGAGGAACTGCCTAGGCAACAGGAGGGCAGAGGCCTCCTCTGCTTGCTCACTCCTCACTCCCAGCATTGTGCCCTACAGGTGCAAGTGGAGGAAGCTCATCGGTTAAGGACCGTGTGCCCATGGTGAGGACTGCGGGCTTGACAACCACACCGCCTGCGCCGTCTGCACTCCAAATGCACCCTTCCCAGCCCGGGGCCTGGGGCCTGGGTTCCTGGGGCCTGGGGCCTCGGCCTGGGTGCCTGGGTGTCTAGGCTAGTCGCCAGACCTCTAGGCTGAGGTCTGCTCTGCTGCAGAATGGGAGAAATCTGGGTACTTACGGTGTAAGGATTTTATGAGGATTAAATGAGAGAATCTACGTAAAGCACTCATCACAGTGCCTAGCAGAAAGGAGCTCCTTAAATGGTAGCTTCTCTTATTATTCCTACATTACTATTATTATTATTATTATCATTATTATTATTATTAAGATATGTTCTGGGGTGAGCTAAAAAAAGAAAAGGAAGGGAAAGGAGAAACAATGTGAATCAAATATAATAGTAATTAAACTATCACCTGCTACACTTTCCTTCTCTCTATGGTGCCAAAGGGTATCAAATTCCACTAGGGATTAATCACATTCCTTCGGAAAGTTTGAGAGATCCCCCCTGGTGACCTCTCTTGCAGCCCTTCTTAGCTTCAGGAGCCCCACATGGGGCAGGGCCCAGGCCCCCCCAGCTTCCAGCCCTCATTCAGCTCCCTTTTACATACACGAGCACTGGGCTTAGGTTAGAACTTAAAAACCTTGTTTTGTTTTCATTTATCTCTATGGCTGCTTTCTATTTATGGCAAGTAATACTGATTTTCTATTCTGGGATTGATAAAACATTTCTTTCTAAAATAAGTAAGTGAAAACCTGAATTACTTACATGAACATATTAATCATGGTACAGGCAGGGCACATATTTTATGGGGAAAATCCTCACAGTTGCCCTTGGCTGCACAGCAATTCAACCCCTGTTGAATGTGAGGGGTTCAACACATTGCTGAAGTGTTCCAACAATCCTCCTGGCCCAGAGAGTTTCTCCATTTTGTGGGCGCGATGAGCCAGGCCAGAGCTGGTTAAGGTCCCAAGCAGCACGTCACCCCACCAGGCCTTCGAAGCCATCCCTGATCTGTTTAAGTTTAAGCCAAACATTCGGCCTCAGTTCTCTAGACTGAATGGGAAAGAGACTGCAGATTCTAGCCAGGAAAGGTAAATGCATTAGTCTCCCCGCCGCCACCCCCCCCCCCCCAGACCAACTGTTACAGGGAAGGACGTTGACCAGAGCGGAGCAGAATGACACCAAGACAAAAGCCACGCCGGCTCTCCCCGGAGGGAAATAACACCACCAAAGAGAAAAACGGGCAGACAGCACAGCACCAAGGAAACAGTACTTTGTTCTTGCTTGAAGATGATATTGAAGGCAGTTCAATTATAGCCGCCCCCAGCCCCTCCCCGGACCCCGTCCCCCGGCCTCCCCAAGTGCACCCCCCACGTCCAGGCGGACAGCAATCTGCCCCAGGACAGAGCGAGTGAGCAGCAGGATGTGGAACCGGTGGTGAGGTGAGAGGTGAAATCCAGGAAGAACGAGTTCGTCTATGAACACATACTTGGGGGGCAGTAGAAGTTAGTTTCGATCTCTTTCACTTGCCAGCTGCGGACCATGAGCAGGACGGGGAGTTCGGGGCCTCCCCCTGGACAGTCCTGTGAGCTGGAGGTTCTCGTTGAGAAGAAGCACAGGTGAAGCCCCTCGATCCCAGGCATGGGGTAGTCTGGTTGCAGCGCCTGTCACCCTGGCGACTGTCCAGGCACATGTGGCCAGAGGCATATGCTGCCTCCCAGGAAGCATCTCTTCTTGACACTTCAAGCTCCCTGGAAGAGGGTGGTCTTCTCAGGGAAGACAGCCCAGTAAGTCTCCTCCTTCCTTGGACAAGCTCCACGTCTCCTTCTCAGTCTTCCATACACCTGCTCTATTACCTGGACTCTCGGAAGCCAGGCTTCTTGGTAATGCCAGGCCAGCAGCTGTCTAGACAGAGCACCTCTCATCCTGTCCTGTGACTGTTGGGCGCATCACCCACATCATCCCAGCCCTGGTCCAAAGAGACAGCAAAGTTTGCTTATGAGACCTTCTCTGCAAAGGACACCGTCTTCTTGACAATGGTAAGGGCTTCTATTTTCTCAATCACTGTTGTTTCACTGGACCAGGGTGCTTGTGACCTCTGCAGACACCAATCAGGCCCACAGAAGTGTGTCCCGAGAGTCCAGCAGCTAATGGTAAGATCTCATTTTCCCACGCATACTGTAATCTGTGGATCCCTGTTGAACGGTATCGGAGAATACGGTAGGCCTGCCACTGAGAAATAGTATTTCACACAAGCTTACTAAGCTCCTGGGGAAAAAAAGCATCTCACAGGGAACAAATCCTACTGGATGGATGCACGTATGTGTGCATCTATGCATTCCACAGGAGATAATGTCGACTTTGGGGACATCAAAGCTTACCAGCTGCCTCAAAGCTCTAAACCTATTGCTCCTCATGATGATCTGGTTCTCATGATCTCTTAGTCTTTCCCCAAGAAGTTCTTTGTGCTTTGAGATCAGAGACCTCATCCAGACGGCATGGGAAGAACTCCGGACCCCCACATTCACTCAGCTCTGCCTTTCCCATGAAAAAGTGTAGAAAGAAAATGCAAACATGAGGAGGCTGGTTAATCGTCTCTGGTAGGCTCCCATAAGTGGGGTGACCAGCCAGCCTACATTGCCTGGGACTGAGGGATTTCCTGGGATGTGCGACTTGCAGTGCAAAAACCAAGGTGTCTGATCGTCCTTCCCACCATTTTTGGGGATGGAGAGAAGGGGAAGAGCCTGTGGGTTCTGCTTTAAAATAGGTGATAAGGAGGCAATTGTGGCTTCTGGGATCACTTAGGAAGGAAATTGGGGTCAACAGACCAAGCACAAGGGCAGGGGGAGCTGGTGAGGCTAGAAACTTTGGGCACATCTTTATCTTGTAACCTCCCCTGCCCCCCACCAGCACCACCTGCCCACCCACATTGCCTGTTCCCTGGGCTGGGTCCCTACAGGCCAGCAATCCATCCTCAGGATAGGTTTTTTATCATCAGTCAAAAGAAAGATAACCGGGAAAAAATGTGCCCTCAAAAATTTCAACCACGGGGGATAATTCACCCCAAGATAAAATGATTCGCTGGTAGCTTTGACATCAGGGGAGCATCTCCTAAGGAGCTTGGAAGAAGTGAGATGCTGAAAAAATGGAGAAAAATGGAGCCCCAGCAGCTTCACAGGCAGGGGGGCCAGTGAATTTCCCCAAGGAAGGAAGTTGGTTTGTGATTATGTCTTAGCCCCAACGAGCCAAGTGCCCGGCCCAAGACCAAGCACTGGCTCAGCACAGGGCCCTGGAAGACCCTAAAAGGTGTCTTATTGGAGCAACTTCATTTCCTTGCCAAATCTGAGTTGCAAGATCATCCTTAATCAGCATCCTCAGTAAAGGTACAGTTCCTTTTCCCATTGTCATGGAAGGAAAATGAATCAAGGTTCATTCCACATGACCTCAAAGTGAGTATGCCAGTGAGACAAATGCCATCCTTAAACACACACACAATTTAGAATAACAGTAAAGATGCCTTTGGGTAATGGATCCAAAATTTAAAAAAAATGAGCAGTTTTCAGATCTATCCGCAAGAAAAAGGAAAAGAGAAATGTTCATAACTACCACCCAGAAAATATTGATGTTTCACTTGTCAGCTCTTTCATGCTTCTGGACAGACATCTTGGCATTGATATCAACTTGACTTCATTACAAGAGCCTTGATTAATTCACACACCAAAGTATGTCCAGAAGATGGCCACAGTGGAGAGGAAACTGGAGCTGTTCAAAGACCTAACAGGGTGGGTGGACAGCAGATCAGTGTCTTCCAACATCTAAGGGCTCTCAAAGGGAAGAGGGAGCTAACTGTATGGCTCCCGATGGAAGATGGAGCAGAGACACGACTTCGTTCCAACAAAGGGAAAAACTTTCTTATAATTAAAGTTTCCCTACAATAGAAGGAACTGCATTGGGAGGTAGTGAGCTCCTATCCCTGGAGGTGTGCAAGCAGAGACGCCCAACGTCCAAGGATACTATGGAAGATGCTACTCCAGCATTCAATGGGAGGCTGGATCTGAGGACGCCTGAAGTCCCTTCTCAACTCTGAGATCTTCCACACTCTGGCCTTGGGTCCTGTCCAGCACTGTGCCCCATGTACTGTCCCTGGGCACTTGTCCCCACTGCCTCATGCCTCGCTGGTGGTGATGAGGGTCAGGAGAGATGCCAGGGTAGCCTGTTCATGCAGACATGAATGGGAATGAATGGCTTAATCATGAGCCACGTTCTCAATCAGAAGCATGATTCCAAGGATTCTGGGTCATTGTGTATGGGCAGTTTCTCAAGTTCCTGGTGATGTCCACTGTGCAGAACTGTGTACCTAGGGAGGAAGGAAAGAAAGCATGAGAATTCAACAGACATCCTTCGAATGTACCGAAGAGGGTATTCCCATCACTGTTGGCTTCCTTCCTATGACATGCTTCTGAGAGCATGGAGAGGTGGGGCTGGGTGTAGGGGTACATTGAGAGGGAAGACCAAAGAACTCCATCCAAATTGCTCATTTTAAAAGTAGGGAAACTGAAGACCTGGAGGAAATGACAGGCCCAGAATTATGCAAAGAGTTAGTGGCAGAGTTTGGACTAGAACCTAGATTTCTTCTTTTCTCCCAACAAAGCCTAAGGCTCTTACATTCATCAAAATGTGAATGTACTCTACTCTACTACCTCAAGCAGTTCCTGAATATGTGAATTCCCTCTCCTAGGGAGGGTTCTGGATTCAGTAATATCAAAGTGCTGAGATTAGTAAAGCTCTCAGAGTCTGAACGACACTATAACCATATTTGTTTCTCTCATTCCTTTTGGTGACATTTGGAAGAGTAAATCAATTAGATGAATCAAGCAGCAAGTTGATTCTAAGCATCACTGTGAAATTTACTACTTGACAAGTGTTTATTATTTGCAGTATCACACGGTTGCATAACTCCTATGTTAATTGCCTTTGAATCAATCTCAATTGCAAGTGGATCTTATCATCAGTAGCCCAGATTCCAGCACCTGGCTGTTATTCTTATGAAATTTCTACAGAGTTTAGGAGCACTACCACCACTCGCTTCCCTCGGGCCAATGTCAAGCCCATTCAGTAGAACAAATAAACCCATGCCAGTTATTTGGCATCACATGTTGATGACCAAGTTTCTCATGAATTACATTAATGCTTTGCCTGGAATTATAATAAATTGCTGACTTTTATAGATTGATCGGTATTTACCAGGTACCGTACTAAACCCTTTACATGTGTTACCTTATTTAATCTTCACAACAAAAGATAGTATTATATTCATTTTGACATTGAGCAAAATGACCAGAGCTTCAGTGACTTGCCCAAGGGAATAAAGGAAATTTGTGAAGATGAAGTCCATCAAACTCTACCTATCTGCTGCCAATACTCATGTTCACACCCAACTCAAGGGCCAGGTATGGACTTAGAATAGTGGGTCTCAACAGGGACAATTTGGAGACACTTTTGGTTGTCATGGCAGGGACATGCAGTGGGTAGAGACCAAGGGTGTTGCTAAACACTGTGTAATGCAAAGTACACTGTCCCCCACACAGAGAGTTCCTGGCCCCAAATGTCAATAATGCCAAAATTGAGAAACCCTGATCTAGAATAAAAAGTCTTCTTTGCTTTGGATAAAAGCAGGTGCTAGCTGAGGAACAGAGACAAGGTGAAGGGCATGAGTCTGAGCTCTTAGAGAACTGTCCACTGCAGCTGTTGCTGGGCTCAAGGCCAGTGGAGGGGAGAGGACTTGAAAAACCACAAGTACCTGCCAGATAAGCCTTGAGAAGAATAAAGTGGAAATGGCTACAGAAAGGAGGATCATATATTTTAAATGAGAGTGACCAAGGAAGGTGTCTGGGGGAGATGACTAAAGACCTTAGGGAAGTTAGTGCTCCAGCTACTGAGTCACTGATGCTCAGCCTCAAACCTACTCTTCTGTACTTGGCTTTGGAAGGATGCTGTAGACTATCAGCTTTGGATGCTGGCTGCAGTCAGGCTTCTCCAACAGGGGTTACTGCAGGAGGGCAGGAGCCCGGAAGAAGGGAAAGGTCCTTGTTCCTCCTGTGGGCATCATCTCAGTGAGGCTTCTGCAGCCCCACAGAGGCAAGAGCCTTCCTGCAGCAGCAGCTCAGTCCACTTTCCAACTTTTGCATAACCAGCTTCACAGTAGCCCCTCGGAGACATCAGCTCCAGCTGGCCAGTGCCTCCTCTTTATAGGTCTATGTCTCTGTTCTGTAGGGTCCCTCCTCTAAGTTTCTGGGTTTTTTCTTTTTTTGTTTTGTTTCATTGTTTCTTGCCTTGTGCTCTTGCCTTGTGTCTAGTTGCTTCAGACACAGCTCACCTTGCTGGGGAAGTAAGATGTGCTGCAAGCACCGTTTTCTATAATTACATACATTGTTTCGTTTATATCATGTACTCTTCACAACTCTAAGCAGAACCTACTAGACTTAAACTGATTTTATAGATGAGAAAACCGAGACTCAGAGAAGTTAAGCAATTGGTAAAAGGCCACAATGTCCATGATGCCCACACTCTTAACCTCACGACTCTTAACACTCCTGACCCTTTACCCTGTTCATGGCCAATGTGTTACTTTCACAGGCAATCAATGGCACCTTCTCCTACACCAAGTTCACATGAAGAAAGTGTCCTGGTTGAAAAGCCAAATGGATACATCCAATCCTGATAGAAAATGCACTTTCGTGGCATGCAGGCACACCTCTACAGCAGCCTTTCATGTATCTCTCCTAAGTGTCTGTCTCCCATGGGCCAAGGAGCAAATTGTTCAGGAATGACTAGAGAAGTATGGAACTAGAGTGGACATTCTAAGTGGAGGTTCCCTTTACCCAGTGCACAGTTGAAGGGCAGCAGCTTTTTCAGAGATAGGTGTAGGCAGAAGGGCATGTTTTCTAGTTACAACACATGGTGGTGGTGGTGGTGGTGAGGTCCTCACCATGGTCTGGTGGGTGGTATGCACAGGATGGAGGAACTGGTCTGACATTTCAGTGGCAGGACTCTAGAAGAGGCAGAGTCTCCAGTGGAGTCTGGCCTGCAGAGGTACTCCCTGGGCTTGGGTATGCATTCCCAAGTCTCCATGAGAGAGAAATCTTTCACTTGGTGTTTTCACTTTCATAGTATATAACAGGTATTTAAGCAGATCCAGGGGCATCTGGATGGCCACCTTATAAACTCACATTGCCTTGTGAATTCAGGTCACACATTTGCATCAGGTTCACCATGATGTCACAGTGACAGTGGCCAACTTTATGCAGTGTTTCTCGAAGTAGGATACATGAACCTCCAGCCGTCTATAGGCATAGTCATGGGGATGTACACATCCTCAATCTGAGGAATAGTGGGGAAAAGAAAGCTCGCGATACTGTAGGCAAACAGAACAGCATTACCAACAGCATTAGCAGGTTGTGGGACCTGGTCAGGTAGATCAGTTCCACCTACTTCACAGCTTCTTTGTGATGATAAAATCAGCATCTATAAAGGGCTTAGCAAAGAGCTGGACACATAGTAGATACTGGTATCTTCGCTCTTAAGGAAACCAAGGATCAGAAAGTGTGACTTTCCCAGGGTCCGAGAAGTAGTTACACACGGAATGGTTATGAACACAGACTCTTAATGTCTGGGTAAATCCTGGCTCGGACAGTCACTAACTCTGTGAATTACTACAAACGTTCTGGATTGTTTCGAGCAATAGACACAGAGATAATGCACACAATACGCTTATTAGAATAGTGGCGGTCAGGGTGGCCGGTGTGGCTCAGCGGTTTAGCGCCACCTTCAGCCCAGGTCCTGATCCTGGAGACCTGAGATGGAGTCCTGTATCAGGCTCCCTGCAGGGAGCCTGCTTCTCCTTCTGCCTGTGTCTCTGCCTCAATCTCTCTCTCTCTCTCTCTCTCTCTCTCTCTCTCTGTGTGTGTGTCTCATGAATAAAAAAAATAAAATCTTAAAAAAAAAAAGGATAGTGACGGTCAAGTAGTAAGCACTCCATGCACTCCATAAATGTTATTAGTACTGTGCTACTTGACATTGGATGTAAAAACTTGTAAAAAAGAAAAAAAAAATCAAGCCATTACTTGATCACTGATTCGGTGCAGAAATCCATTCTTTAGTAATTGATCAGATCTTTGTTCACTTAGCATCGATCACAGAGCTGAAAGAAACCTTCGTGAGGCTTTAGGGATAAAGAGCGAGCCCCAGAGACTGCCTGTCATCTGCCAGAGTGGCTAAAGTCTCCCCGTTGTCTGGTTGTCCCGGTTACTTGTCATTCTGCAGCTGTCCTGGTGGAACACAGGCCCAGATGTGCCGGTGGACCTGGGCAGGTTCAAGCCCGGATGCAGAACTTCGCTGCTGTTTCCCAGGCAACGGCGTTGAGGCAGGAGGCCGCTCCCTTCAAGCTGGGCTGCTTCCCCCCTTAGCATTAATTTACTCAAACATGACGGGAGCCACATTAGGTTTGGTAATTACCTGAGTCTACAATTCATTCACTGAGCAATTAGCATCGCACTTAGAGCAGCTTGGATGCAATAATTAGTCGCATAATAACAGCCCTTGTGCCTGTCCAGCCCAGCATTCTAAGGAAATGGTTAGACCTTATCACGCATCACCCCAGCCTTCCCCTGCATGGCGGTGCTCACACGCGGTGCCTGCAAGGTGCTTTAATTATTAAAATATAAGGTACATGAGTTTGAAGGGATTCAACCCTAACGTAGAGTTTCCCGAAGCTAGAGCCCCGTCACCTGGAAACAAAGACCTCACATTGGGTATTTCCTTGATGTTGGGAGGAATGAGATTTTCGAGTCCCAAGACATTGATTGATCCAGCCACTTAGTTCTTTTTTTTTTTTTTAGATTTTTATTTATTTATCCATGAGAGACAGAGACAGACATAGAGAGACAGAGACACAGGCAGAGGGAGAAGCAGGCTCCATGCAGGGAGCCTGATGTGGGACTCGACCCCGGGACTCCAGGATCACGCCCTGGGCTGAAGGCGGCGCTAAACCGCTGAGCCCCCCGGGCTGCCCAGTTCTTTAAAATCATAGGGACGCCCGGGTGGCTCAGCGGTTGAGCGCCTCCCTTGCGTGGAGCCTGCTTCTCCCTCTGCCTGTATCTCTGCCTCTTTCTGAGTCTCTCATGAATAAATAAATAAAATATTTAAATAAATAAATATACATATTTTTCCAGTGCCCACCAGGCACTGTGCGAAGCCCTGGACACCTGAGGGTGATGAGGACAGACTGCACAGTCTCTGTCCCCCCGGAGCCCACAGTGTGGTGCAGGAGACCCACAGTCAGACACAAAGTCACAAGAG